AATGAGATTTTATTAATTCTGGCTTTTATTTCCAGTTTCTGACGGAAGCAGAGTATGGTTTAGTAGTGATACTCCCGAGAGTCCTGCGCTTCACGGAATTTCACCGAGACCCGTAAAAAAGATGTCCTTTAAAACTGGACCAAAGCAGAAGGCTAACACGCAACCGACCCCGCCAGACAGTCCGAGATATAAATAAAAGGTTTTTTTATTTGTATTCAGAAAAATGCTCTGCACAACTAATTGGGCTCATCGAGCATTGTACTTTAAAGGAACTATTCGGATAAAAAATAGAATAACGAATAATTATACGATAGAGTATTCCACTGTTAGTATTTCGCGCATAGCGTGAAAATTAACAAAAATGCCTGTGGCAACTTGATACTTTTGCCAATCGATATACTTTATTCACAGTGGGAATTGAATATCTGATTAGCGTTTTCTGTTTTCCGTCCTTAGGTTTAATTTTTATATTGAATGTACAGATCGTTGTTTATTTGTTGCAACGTGAATATTAATTTATTGGAAAGTATAAATATATAATAAATTTATTAAATTATAGAGGTATATAATTAGATATACTTCTCATAGATTTATTGACGTCGAAAGACAGCTATTTACATTGTACAGCACTTTCTTAAAATTAATTTATCCTAGTATTTCGAATAGTTAGAATGATAATTCTGGACTAAAATTTCTTGAAACATATTAAATGTAGCATAGAAATACTAACATTGTCAGAATGCTCTGCGGTACTGCTATATGGCCTTTGTAATTTCTTATTTGTCACACAGTATACATAGAAATATAATATAACTATTTTATTATTAGCAAGATAAATACGAGAAGATTTACGATGTTATTCCCGATAACGCTTGTCAGCTTATACATTAAAGTCATATTCCAAATATGAAGCTGATGTGAATTTGATAATTCCGTTAGCTAGATTTGAGATAAAACAATGTTTATTACAATTTAAACAAAGTGATAAATAGCCATTTTCAGAAAACTTAAGTTACACATTCCACGCGTATATATCACCCTGTTCTTAATTTATATTTATACATTATAATATAATTCATATGTATGCATATATATGCATGTATATGCATATATGTAAATGTGTGTGAATTACCGAGCCATTCCATTTGAACATAATTCGATTAACGCATCTACTTTTATACACTTTATAATGGATCCCTCAGCATAGAATTTCTTTCATTTTATTCAATATAACGTGAAGAGAACGCAATCGCCGAATTACTTGAGTTCTGTATTAAAATCGAAGATGTTTGATATTTTATAATGAATAAATTAAATATTTCTTATAATGATGCAAAGCCAAATAATTACCACATATTTGGCAAAAATCAAGACATGAAAATAATGAAAATTGGAAACTTATTCCATTTATTAAATAATAGCTACTTGCTTTATATGAATTATTCTCATACAGTGATAATAATCAAAGTATTAATGTTATCTATTACTATTACTATTAATGAATGGCAGACTATAATAAAGGATTATATTGTGGTAACGATCGATGCATTATTCGAGATGAGATTTTTCTAGAGGTATACACTTCGCGATGATAAACTCTGTGTATAATTACAATTTTTTGACTATTTTGAAGACTACCATGAAACACATTCAAAAATGTAGGTATTAGCAACGAAGATGTAGTTGATAATTACTGATGCGCAGATCATGGCCAAAGCAGCATTATTTTTCCACTAATTTATAATAAAATATACCAGGAAAGCTCTGTGTGTATGTATATGTATTGTATATAAATTGTTAAGCATATAAAATGGTTCTGAAGTCATTTAAGATTATTCTGAATATATATCACGTTATGTCGCTACATTATTAATGATATATTAATTGAATATATACACATAGTATATATATATATATAATTCGTTCATTATATTGTTATATGCAAAAATGCTTTTACTGATTGTATTTAAATGTACTTAATTAAACATTTTCATTAATAACGCTATCATTATCATGCGTGCTATTATTTAACTTTTTAAAAGAAAAATCATTTCTTAATCTTAAAATTTTGTCGCAATATCTGATTGCATTGCGCGTTTAATTGGCAGAGCGACAGATTAATGAATGTATAAGATAGGTAATTAAAAAAATATGAACAAATCTTTTGCTGAGATGAAAACGAATAATTTTTCTTTTTTTCCAAAAAGGAAAAATATTCAATACATAAGCCTAAAAACAATACTAAAAATAGAATACCTGAACTTCTTAATTACACCGAGTCGTTTTTGTATAAGGATAAAGTTTTACGTATATCTCTTTATGTAAAGATATTGCAAATGTTTACATATATTAATATTTATGCGGAATAACATATAGTTGTCTTATAGCATTTCTCCAGATTTACAAAAAAATGCACTTATTTCTAAGAATTAAAAGAAAATAAGATAAGTATTGTAAAATATTATATATATATATATATA